GTAAGTTATAGATTCTGAAATCAATAAATAAATGAAAAAGAAAGTTAACTTAATGAGTTCTTAATAGACAGTTACTGATTAGAAATTACTGCAAATATATACAAAACTGCAGCAAATGGCATTTCTTGTGATTGTGTTTCCTGTTTTAACTATGGATGTCATACCTTCCACCTGTAGGTTAATAAAAGACTCCATGTTGCCAGTGACGGTGCTGGTGTAGCACTTGTATCTGCCCTGGTCCTGAACCTGTACATCTGTAAGCTGGAGTGCAGCATTTCCTGTGGAGATCTGGTCCTTGAACAGTGATGTCCTGCCGCTGAAATTCTGGCCCTGGAATGCGAGTTGGTCTTGGTTGTGGTAGTAGGAATGAACAGGAGTGTTTCCTGTCACCTGAATCCAATGGATGACCACGTCAGAGCCGGCCCGAAAAGTGCACGGTAAGATGCAGCTTTGCATGAACACACAGATTTCAGCATCTGTAAAACATCAAAGAGACATTAATCAAGGTTCAGTTCTCACATTTATGTGTTCTGTTGAGATTAAGTAGAGATGGACGAGTCATTGGTTTCTACTGATATGTATAACTGTGTGTCATCTGCGTAAAAAGAGAGCAATAAATTATGTTGGTGAATGATGTGATCTTAGCTGAATGACCATAATAATAATTATCTTGTGCTGATATGTTTAACATTGTGTTGTCTGCGTAATAGAAGAATAGATTGTGTTATAAAAGGATTTTGAAGCTGTTGCTCCTATCAATAAAATAATTAATAGTAATAACAATAAATACAACTTATTGAGCAAGTTGTAAGTTGCTGCATGAAATAAAAGAAAATATATAGAGAGGATTAACAATGGATTTATTGTTTTGTTTTGACATGAGAACTGTTTGGTGTTTTCAGATCAATGAGCATTTGTTTTTTATTTTTGACATAAGGGCTTTTGGTCCAATAGGACATTTTTCAAACTATTAGGGTTTTGGACACTAGTATGGCAACAAAATGCCTGCTGCTGCTGAGACGAGTTTGAGATTTATATTGTATCCACTGTAAAAAACATTTTTAAAAAAAACCCACATCATTTAAAAGTCAGCATTGGGATGAGAAGTTTGGGTGGCATTGAGATCAATTGTTTTATATGCTTAGACATTTAACACAGAACACAAATTCAGTGTGAGTTACAACATATAACTAGTCCGTCTTCTGTCTACAGTACTCCATAACTGATTTATTTTATTGTTTTTCCTCGTTTAATAACCATGGTCACTCCAGACTTTGCGAAAGTTCAAAGTGTGACTCTGCTAATAATCAATCTCAGGTTCTATCTGTTAGCAATTATATGTTGTTTTTAAGACCTTAAGGAAAGGATTTGTTTGTTGACTCACACACTTTAGAAAGACATATTTACCACTTAGCTCTCGTGGTAACCTATTCAAGTTATGTGAGATTGTCAGACACACAGTTAAAGTGTCATTTAAAGCTTAAACCAGTGATACTCAATAGAAGCTTATATTTCATTAATGTTGTTTTTCAAAGCTTGGACAAAAGAAAGAGAATTCTCCTGAGGTGGAAGCTAAAATTTCATTGGATATATATCTAACCTTGGCACATATAACCGAAACTGAAGGTCTCTGTGAAAAGTGAGAAAATATGTTTGTTCTTAGGTGGATTGACTCCATAGATTTAATAATAGATCTATTAATTCTTTATGTTTCCTAGTATTCTTGATTTCTTGGATGAAAACAAACAGTGCACCAAGTTCAGACAAATCTATGATTTATTTTTAGAGTGGAATAAGATCTGACGGGCTGACGCTTCACTCACCTCCTCTGGTAAAAGTCCATAGAAAGGTCAAGACCACCAAAAACACGCTGCTTTTGCCTGCAGCCGTCATCCTTTTGATAAATATTCCTTGGAGAAGAATGGCAATCCTCAAGGAGCGTGACAAATAACTTGTCTGACTAGTCACTCAACTGAACAGCTGAAGCTCTAACTTTAGACCTGGAACTGACTGGGGTGGGTGTGTGTGTATGTGTGTGTGTGTGTGTGTGTGTGCAGGGCTAGGTAAAGGACTGCCCAATGAACATTGTAAGATATTAGCTGGTCTCGAGAGAAACAATTTTAGATAAGGAATTTGTATGTGAACAGTGACCATGACCAGTGACCTACTTTATTATCTGTTGTCTCAGTAAACGCGATCTTATTTAAAGCCAAACTAACTTTCAATCAATTTTATCAATCCTTACAGGAAGTGAGATTTAGTCCAGTTTTAGTCATATGTGTGGGTGGCGACGGGGTAGTGGATAAGACACAAGCCTTTGGTGTAGGAGACCTGTTTGATTCCCACTGTGACACCTCCACCAATGTGTCCCTGAGCAAGACACTTAACCCCTAATATGTCTAAGTTACTTTGGATAAAAGTGTCAGCTAAGTGAATAAACTTAAATGTATCCAGCAGTCAATTATTCATTACTTGTAAGTACTACGACTGCTACTACTTGTGAGTAATTGACAGTTTTCTTTGTAACCTTCACCCACAAGAGATATGGTATGGTGAACTTTGCCTTTGATGGATTAATGATTGGTAAATTTTTTGGGCTGGGGCTATGTGTCACCTTTGTGACTTTGGACTTGGGCACAGCACAACAGAATTTCAACAGGCACACAGAGTAAATTTAAAATTGTGTAATCTTTGGGAAAATGGGTTAGTTTCCTAATTTGTTCCCTAGTCTCTCTCCAACCACAGCGACAACACCGCAGCTAACGGCATGTTGCCCACTAACACCACAGAACAACCGGCCCCCAACACAACACAGACTCCAACATAAACTGCACGTGAGGATAAAAACAACAATAAAGGTTTATGTGCTGAAGCCTGTCAGGCCAAACGTGATTCAGATGATCTCGGTGAAAACAGTCAGCATCAGAAAGGCTGGGGTCACAGAGAGACATTAGCTCGCCGGCTAACACCTTGCAGTTGCTAATGTTATCCGGTGTGTGGGAGATAAAAACCCCAGTCCGGGCCAGAGGCCTAACGGGCCCTCACACACATTCTTTTGGATGTACCTGTAACTTAGACCTAGATGAACTGCTGTCCTTTCAACATAAATGGTAAACCTTTCAATGAGACAGATTCCAGTAAAGTTCAAATTAAATCAAGTTTAATGATAATTTCAAGCAAATAAACAAATAAACTAATACATGTGCATCCGAGCTGGTCCCGGGAGCAGACTCCCTAAACTCTGTATGACATTGGTTAAGATGTCCCGTCTTGCTCCTCCTATTGTGGGTCTCATAGTAAGACCTACCTTTTCCACCCCCACACATATTCAATATTAAAACAATAGCATATTCTACCCTACAACACTTCTAAAGAAATAAGAGTGAAACGTGACATCAGAAATAAGACATCATCTTGTAAAAAGTGTATGTGCATAAGACAAACAAGAGTTAACATCAGCACAAGCACAGGTTTGTGTGCTGTGTCACAGGCTGACCTTCAGAGCTGTAGCCTTCTCTCATTGGCCCCTTTGTATTCATAAATCTAGTCTTCCACACTTATCAGGCCCTCCTTACCAAGGCCTCTTATGTTTATAAATCTTAGTTTACTCTTATCGAGCCTGGACCCAGGTGCTATCAACTTTATGTGACAATCCAACAAGGCCCCATTGTTTCTTGTTTGGATGTCTTAATCATTTTGGATCATGGTCTTCACCCTGACTTTCGCTTTGACCAATTCGCAACACTGTTTGACTAGCCGGGTGTGTCTTGTGACGTGTGTCTGTTCTTTACAAAAATGTGAAGGCCACAGCCTGAGAGCAACAAGGCTGAGCGAGTCAACTGCAGCCCAGAGTTCAGCGTATCTTTCAATAAACATCTTCTAATAAACATGCTAAACATATCCTAATCAAGCTAGGCATATAAAATATTCAAACATCATACCTAACTAAAATATCTTCAACAGGTGCAATATATAATATGTAACGTTATGCCCCTCCACATTACTTCACCAGCTAACTCTGTCCACATTACAATGTGTACAACCAGTATCAAAGTGTTGATTTAGCCTGCAAGAAATGATGTAATGCAAATGTGGAGTGATTTGTTTATACTAATCTTAATGCAGGCAGGAGCTGCTTTAGCACAGATCTCCACCATCTCTGTACCTTATATGACCCTCATAATATACAATAATGGACCATAACAGCGCAGGCCAACAACACAGTGGAAGAACAGTAATGTCACTTACTGCGGTCTAACTGTTATAAAGTGTAGCAATAGTCTCATTATAATATTGTGTCCAGCTCACTAACTGTTTCATTATCTGCCAGTCCATGTAGCTGTGCTCACATTGCTGAGCCTCTGGTGAAAGATACACAAATGGTAAGTTTTTGAAAAGCAGACAGGCGAGCTAACGACGATGTAGCACGTCGGCTAAATGCAGTAAATGTAACGTTATCATGTAACGAGCATGGATTAGTTAAACCTGCAGCTGATAAAATATTACTGTAACGTTGCAGTGGGAGTTTACCTGAGTTTCCAGCATGTTGTGTGAAGCTGTCTCCCTGTCTGTCTATAACCGCTGTCACTCTTTATTTCCGGGAGGATTGGGCCGATATGTGGCTCGCTGCGCTGAATGAAAGGTACGGCGGTGGTGTTGATCTGCATATGAGCCGGGAACGTTGAAGTAACAGAGTCTGAACATGTCTGGAGAAAAGCCACAGCCTGCATGCTGATGTTCCTGTGTTTATTGTGGTATTTCTGTATGAAAGTGGTTGTGTTTCGGATTACGCTCGCTCACGAGTTCAAGCCTATCATTCAAGTACCGTACAAACAACTCAACTGTCTCTGTCATAGAGTTTGTTGATGACATTTTCACTTTGTGACAACTGAGCCACCTTCTGCTGATAAAGTCTGTGAGATGTGGTTAAAAGCTCCAGAAAGAAGCAAGTGGACCTTGATTGAAGATTGTTCTGAGGTAAAAAGCAAACAACACAGACACAAGGTGATTAGCTTTTTTAATAATGGTACATCATTTATGACACATTTGTGAAAGAAGTCAAGTATAATTTGTAAAACATGATGCATATTTACAACAAAGAGTGGCAGCGCAGAGAGAAGACAGTTAAAGTTAAACGTTAATCTCTTCACGTCAGAATGAAAGCCTATATAGTTGAGTCACATCAGTGATTAACAGTCACATTCGTATTTAAAGTCCAGGAAAAAAATTCCCAGAAGGAGCTTGACCTTTCTCAGTGTCCTTTAAGTTCAGTGAAGGTTTAAATGCAGCAGGACAGCGTAGGTAGTAGAACATGAAATCAGTCTTTGATTTTGGAAACCCAGCCTGTGCAAGTGGCTGAGAGCAGGATGCTGAATCTCGACCAGTGCCAGCAATGATTGACACCAACTTCAATAGAAAACATAATTTCTTACCTGGTTCAAAACATCATAAAATTCATACAGAGGCATGTGAGGCTTTTATGGCACACAAGCGTAGTGATGCGGCTTTTTGGTTCTCAGCCTCATTGTAACTTTGCAAATGGTCCCTGGAGTTCTTCAGGAAAGCCTGTTTTCTGCTAAATACTGCCAAGAACTAAGGAACCACAGGACCTTAAGCGTAATTTATACTTATGCGTCAAATCGCCGTAGCCTCTGCATAGCCCCGTAGCCTACGTGTCACCTACGCCTGACGTGCACCTCCTGAAAAATTTAACTACACATCGAGGCGACGCGGACCGTAAGCACTGTGATTGGTCAGTTGGGTAGCCCTGCAGTGCCTCCGAGCCGACAGGAAGTGCCCCGTGCTTTGAAGTGACTTTTACTAGTGGCCAAAACGGAGGCTGTAACACGATGGATCAATATATTTGACCGTCACAATACGAGCGAAATGACTCGTTTCGCTATCAGAATGTGATCCACTCGGTCGATAACATTTGAAAAGGCTACACCAGCCGCACGTATACAATTTTACCCCGGAACGCTAAACTGGAAGTTAGCCTGCTCGGCTGGCAAAAGTCAAGACAGTGGACGCTATAGCGCTACTGCTGACTAGCTTTTGGGGGTGTGATTGCAGAATGACAGAGACACCCACGCACAAGTATAAATGCATGACTATGTGCGGTTTTTTTTGCATTCCTGTTTATTTTCATCTCATCTGAAGAACCGTGCAAGAACATAAAACTTTAAACAACTTTAAAAATTACAAAACATTTCCTCCTCTTGTTCCAGTGTTTGCTTAGCCTGCTGTCTGATTAAAGGCCTCATCATACCAGCGTTTAAAGCAGATACATTTTGCAGCAAATTTCAATAACTTCAGTCTTGTTCTGAAACTTTGGTGACACATTTGCATCACTGACCAATTAAACCGTCTAAACAGAGATGACCTTTTAAGGGGAAGGAGAGCCGGAGAGTTCGAAATCTATCGTAGTTTGTAAGCTGTGTAACATATTCACATTTATTTAACCTCATCTGTATCACTTGCTCCAAAACAAAGCAATGGTTTACAGACCATTATGAGACAGCAGTCAATGGCACATAGACTTCTTATCTGTGTGAACGTATATGTCTCAGTAAGCTAAGCTAACAAGGTAATGAGTCTGCTAACTGTAGAGCTTTGGAAACAGGCTTTTAGGCTCAGCAGGAGCCGTCGTTAGGCTTCTCTACAAGACGACATTCCACTTAGGGTTCCTGAAATAACAAAAGATTCATAGCTGCACTATCAGGGTTCACAAACCCCTCATAAATACATTGAAAGCATCTGTTCTGTGAGTGCATGTTCTACACTTCAGCATATACACTCTAAAAAGTAACGTTATATCAGGGTGTCAAACGTTCTTCAAAAACACCCAAATGTGCCCACATAGTACTTAGAAATAATATAATACAATTTTAAATAAACTTTTTTCTAAGAAGCTGTTAGTTCCTTGTGTAGCTGTGTGTGTATGCATGTGTGCTTTGTTAATTTGTTAGTCTTGGGTGTTTCGGTTATCATGTTAACTGAGTGCTGGTCTGGGGGCCTGATTGTCCGTTGGTGTCGCCTGCAGTCAAAGGGCTGCTCTCATTCAGGTTACTGTCTGCTGTCGAGTCTGTAAGAAAGAGAAAAAAAAAAGGTTCTGGATAAAAGGATGAAGAAACAAAGGCCTTAATTTTAAGCAGAAAAACTAATTCTGATTAACAAACCAAGAAAACCAAACCAAGAAAAGTTTCCTAAATGGAATAAAAAGAAAAATCTGTGATTTGTTGATTCATGTGAACCTTTACTAAACTGACTGAGTGCCGGTGTAGGGGCCTGATTGTCCGTTGGTGCCACCTGCAGTCAAACGGCTGCTCTGGGAAGAGACGCCACCTTGATGGCAACATAAAGTATGTCTGTCTGAAATCTCAATAGCCAATATGCCTCTGCGTCAGTGGCAGGCCTGCCCACAGAAATGAATTTTGGTTCAAAATAAAATTTGGTTATCTTTGCTTATATTTAGGATGAACATCATTAGTGCAGGAATGCATGGGCCCCCCATAGCAGCTGGGCCCCAGAAAGCTTTCCCCTTTTTCACCCCTTATGGGCGGCCCTGGTCAACTCACCCACGCCGTGGGCACTAATGCATCCCCATACCATCACAGATGCTGCCATCACAGCGGTTTCCGACTTTGCCCTTTACAGACTGAGATGTCTCCAAATTCCTTGAATCTGTTCACATTATGAACTCTTGATTTTGAAAGACTTAAATTCTCTGCAATCTTGTGTTGAGAAACGTTCCCTTTGAACTAACTAACAATTTTCTTCTGAATTTTGGCACAAAGGGGTGAGCCGCGGCCCATCCTTATTTGCAAACATTAAGCCTTGGGCGAATGCGACTTTTAGATCTAATCATGACACCTGACCTGCTATCAGTTAGTTATCAGTACTGTAAGATATTATATTTCTTAGGTTATCTACTAAAAAGATATACACTCAGTTGCCATTTTATTGGGTCCTCCTTGCTAAGTCTAATGCACTTTAATAGAGTTTAAACTCATGTAGTAATAAGCAGATATAAGTGTTTATTAGTGTATTTATCAACATCTGTAAGTCCCCCTGTTGGCGTTTTTATGATGTCATAACATAATCTCAAAATATTTTACAGTATTTTTAAACTACAAAATACAAAACACTCAAGTACTTTGAACAAAACATGAAGTAACCCTATCAAATATAAAATCCTTTTTTTAAAATTAATTAAAAATACATATTTTAAATACATTTATCATAAATACTGCACATCCCTGTCTGGAGTAGAAACATGTTTTTTCAGCTTTCATCTTCAGGTAATCATCACACAAGCCCTCAGATTTATGTGGTGAACCATAAAGGTTGCGAATCATGGTTGTCATTCCAAAAAAAATCCACTTTCATGAAGGTTTTAATATTCAGTTTTTGTAGAAGCTGTTTTAGAGAGTGGAGGTTGTACTCCAAAGATAAATATTGTTATCTTGAAGTTGTAAAGGCAAACAACCTACAGTCCAGGCAACAGAGCAAAGACTTGACCTACGGCTCCATCTGTTTGCTGGTTTTGGTAGAGCAAGTAGTATTTACGATGACCCACCTTTGACTAAATGCAGCTCTGTTGGCACCTCGGTGTCATTTCTGCACTTCAGGTTGCGTCCTGAGAGCAGAGGGGAGAGACATAATGTTTGAGAACAGCTGAAATCAATAACGGATTCTGAAATTGAAAGCACCTGAAGCCTACAGACTGAGCTACTGAGCACAAAAAGCACACCCTAAAATGTGATTAAGCTTACATAAACTAATCCAGAATCACAACACTGACCAAAGACATGACCCAGATCCAATTAGTTATAACTGGTGTGACTGGTTTGGGTGTAAAATGACAGGTGTAACAATGGATGCTAGATTTGGATTGCCTTTAGGATTTAGTTTCTATTTCTTCATTACCTGTATGAAGAATGTTTTTTACTTACGGTATCTGTTATTTATGAAGCGGAAAGGACAGTGATTTTTTGTCTATGTATCCTCAAACAGATTCAGTATTGGGATCTGAACATTTGTTTTATTCTCCTGTAACAATCTGTTAAAGTTCTCTGAACATTCACCACAAGGCAGAGAAGCTTAGATTTTGTTTTAGGACTAGTGACCCTGAATCTGAGAAGATATTTAGTACCAATCAACAGATCATTTTTGATGTCATTTATGTTTTTCAGAAGGTTTTTCAAAAAAACATACTGATAACTTTTTAATTAATGCTGACAATTAGATTTTTTGAAATATGTTTTTAGTTGTTTTTAGCTGCATGTTTCAGCACGCAGTGGTCGAAAAAAAAAGTACTGTGCTTGAGTAGAATTATGAGGTATTTGTACTTGACTTGCGTTTTCAGATTTTATGCTACCTGCAAAGCTGCAACATAAAAATGCTGCGTACACAGTTATGTATCAGTAGTAATAAATAATAGACAGAGTATAACACTGGTTAGGGGCCATTCTGGAGCATAATGAGTACTTTTGCTGATAATACGTAATATGTACTTGTCCAAGTAAGATTCTGAATACTTCTGAAGGCTTTTAGTTGTAACAGTACTTTTTTACTTTTTCTGGGTAAAATATTTGAATTCTCTCCCATCATTGAATACTTGCAGCAGGACCATTAACCATTTAGCAGTTAATTTCTGCAATAAAGACTTTTGAGACTTTACCTTTCAGTCCTTGTACTTACATAATGATAAAAACCCACAGTTGTGAATTGCATTTTTAATTCAAACTACAGAGTCTAATAAAATGTGTCACTGACTGAATGTTCTGTATGATTATTTAGGAGTTTGGTGAAGAAACCTACTGAATAGCTGCTGTATAAAGTGATGTAATGCTAAAAAAAAGAATCACATTTTTGGAAGATGTTTTTCTGTAGTGGCCGTAAAATAAACTTTTTTTAAGAAACTGAAAAATTATATACTGACACACAAGATAAAGTGTATAAATTGTAATAGCAATAACAGTTAATAAAACTAAAAACTAATCCCAGATATCCCAGACAGTTTCTGCCCACTCCCAGTTTGAATGTCGGTATGTTAATGCAGGTATTTGTGATGATTGTTGGGTCTTGGATCTTTACCTTTCACCTTCAGGTAGGCCAGCAAGCCCACCAGCGCGAGAACCAGCAGCGCAATCACCAGACCGACAATCCACCAATAAGACGGTTCTTTTGAAAGTCTTTGCTCTTCTGCACACAGGTAACAAATACATACAGATTAATTAAAAAATACACACTTAAATACATGAAACAACAACTAACAGACAGTTTTTTTTCTGTTGTGAAAATTGAACTTTTTACATGGATGTCGTTGTCTTTATATGTCAAAGTGTGTTATATAATGCATATATAGTTGTTAGTTAGTTGTTAGTTATTATTGTTAGTATTTTTCAACTGATTTCATACCAAAGTTACTTAATATTAATTTTTGATTTTTAAGTAATATTAATTAACAACAAGAATTACAAGAAAAATCTCAAATATTCTCTGAGATTAAAGTCAGTCACAAAGTAAGTTACAAGAAAAAAAACCTCCAAACTTTCAGATCTCTTTGTGTTATTAAATGCTCTGTAATCTGTATTAATAGCAGGACATAATAACAAAAGCTACTTTCACATGTCAGTACTATGAAAGCATAAAAAATAGGGAAAAACTTCAATGAAACAATCATGTTAATTAGTGCAATATAATTTTCCTCCATAACAATCTGCCATAATAAATGTCTGATTTAATTCATTTGAATCAACAAATTTATTTCTTGTCATGCATTTCTTAAAAAAAGATTTTATCATATTTGTTTTGAATATTCTACCTCAGATATGTGAAGTGATTCATTGTTTGGCACGTGTTTGTCATTGACCATTAAGAAAAGTTTAACCATCTGGTTTCTTTTCCTTTCACACAAGAGCAAACTTCAAGAAATAAAAGATGATTTGACATTTATCAAGATAATAATCGATATCGAATGATATATTTTTTATCGTGAAAACATTTTGGGCCATATCGCCCAGTCCTAGAAGAACTTTAGATTTAGATTCTTATTGTTGACATGAGGTTTTCCTTGGAATATTAGCCAGTTCTGAAATGTCTTTAATAATTAATTTAGAAATTAGTAATTTGTTTTTTATCTACAACATGCCATCTTACAATACAACGCTCTGAGCACCGAAACTGTAATTCTATTCACCTTCACTGTGTTGTTGCAGAGTCAGAAATTTCAATCCCAGGCAGATAAAACCCAACTATCTGTATATACAACTAGAGGCTAGTGACAAGATATTTTATTTTATAATTTTCGTAAAATGATTTGATAAATGATCTCTTTTTTTTTTTTTGCAAGCAAGGAGCTTCTAATGCACTATTTGTTCCTATTTTTTTATTTTAAAAAACTACAGGAAGCAGCTGTTTGAGAAAATTCCTGAGCTTTTCTTGGAATTAAACTATTTAATTAGTTAGGTGTTTTTAAATGGTTTACATCTTCAGTAAGAACCAATGGGCTTGCAGCTTGGAGAGCTACAGACAGAATGTCAGAAAGTATTGACAGACTAACACAGTCTGCACACATTCCTCTTTGGTCTATGACAGCGTTTGTGGCCTCACCGGCAGGATTCTTGATAGTGACTTCAGTGCGTTCGGTGTGAGTGGTGTACGGGATGGAGAACACACAGGTGTAGCTGCCCGTGTGCTCCGAGTGCTTGGGGTCCATCAGTCGCAGCGAGCCGTCTCCAAACGGGACTCTGAAGCCGTCCAGCTCCACGTGGTTGTCCCAGTATGACGAGGATGTGCTGTCCCCCGACCGGCTGTTGTAGGTGAGGATGTGGGAGGGGTCCTCGCTGTTGGAGAAGCTCCAATTGAGGGAGGGTTTGTTCAGGTAAGAAGGGGCGTGGCAGGGGATGGTAAGGTCTCTTCCTTCAGTTCCTTTAATTTCTACTAGTAACAAGGATGTAGGTTTTGTTTCATAAGAGAGTGGGACACAAAACATTCAGTTTCTCCAGTAAGTAAATAAACAGATACAAATTAAAGCATGTGAAAGATAACACGTTATTTTGAAATGTGTCACATCATGCCCTCCAAATTAGAGGTAGTTCTGAAATGCTGTGTAAATTGCTGTATTATTAAAACACAACCCCTACTTAAAATCCCATTTAACTGTGTGGATAGAGACCTCTCTTCACTAAAAAGAGCTTTTACCTCTTTCCCTGAGTGAGGCGGTCCAGGTCGGACCACCGTAGGAACTCGTGACTTTACAGATGTAGATGAGGTCAGGGTGTCCGTTCAGCCTCTTGAGGCGGCTGTCGACCAAGTACAGCTTCTGTTTGTTGGCCAGAATGCGCGTGACCGGTCGGAGGTCCTCGAAAGTGGGTGGTTCGGTCGCCCAGGTTACACGAGGAGCCGGGAAGACATTATGGACCATGCATTTCATCTCCTCGTAGCCGCTCAGCCTCGACAGCTCCACAGACAGGCCTCTGATGGGTGCTGCACACACACAAAGACACTCACAGCATGCTAAAATGTTTCCCAGCAGCCCCTGATGATAGACTCTAAATGCCAGGGCCCAATATAGCCTGACTGTGGGTGATATCATTCTCATGCAGATAACATTAGAGCTCTGTTAACACAGGAGAATAGTACCACAAACATTCTTACAGAAACACTGTTTTTAATTTAATTTAAAAGTCCCCTAATGTCCCTTTAACCACAAAGCCACCCAGGGGGGTTGTGTGGTAGAAAAAAACTATTGGCATGAAAATCTGTGTGCAGAAAGGCTTGAAGTAATTTTTAAGTAATTATGCACCTGGCAATGAGAATAAAAGCAGGGAATTATAAAACAAGACAAAGAGTCTGCAGCCACGCTGGCACCTCTGTGAGACTATAAGCAGTGCAGTTGAGCTAAATGTGCTAACATCAGCCTGCTAACATGCTCACAAGGCTAAAATGCTGATATTTAGCGGGTATAATGTTTAAAAATGTCACCATCATACATTTGCTAATTAGCACTAAACACACACAACATATTTCTGCATTTCTGAGTTTTGCACGGGAGTCCAGAGCAGCCACAGCGAGCTGATTAAGAGCTACTCAGCAAGGTTGCCAAGTTTCCTACGTCCTGCTGTTGTGTGGAAAAGTACTCGTGTTCAAGATTATTATTGACTGTTTACTTTATTAAAACATGTGTCACAGTTTGCCTCTCTGTCCCTTCTTACAGCCACACTGTCTCCTCCCCAGACCTGCCATCCTCAAGCTGTCCACCGGATGCTCACAGACTGTCCCTCCTTCACCCATCACCTGACTGCCCTACACATCCTACACACTGGTTCCCACTTTTAGGTAAACAATAGGTAGTAGATACGTGTTGCACTGTAATATTATGGGATAATAGTTGCTATCAGTTAGAGTGAAAGGGTTGGTTTACCATCTTGAAAGCAGAGAGAAACCTTTTAAATAATGACGTTCAAACCCGCCTAAACAAACTGGGCTGAATCATCACAGTTTGTTTAAACTGTACCTAAGAGTGCTCTTACGTCTGACCTTATTTATAAACTCACCTTCCACCTTCACGATGACCTTAGCATTGTGTTCGCCCTTCGAGGTGTTCACGTGACACCTGTACGTGCCTCTGTCCTTGAGAGTGCTCCCTTTGATGATCAGTGTGGCATTGCCCCGCGAAATCAGTTCTGGGACAATGGAGGCTCGGTCGTCATCTGTCTTGTGCTCTTCACTGCTGTCATCATCATCTTCATCTTCATCATCATCATCATCATCATCATCATCATCATCATCATCATCATCATCGTTGTCGGCCCGCTTGAATTTGTAAAACTCTGCGTCCTGTTTGAACCACTCGATGGTCTCTTTGCTGCCTGGTTGGAAGCTGCAGGGGAGCAAGCACTCCTCGGAAACAAAACACGTCACAGTGACATCTGAAACAAGACACGGAGAGTCAAGATGAGGTCTCAATGTACCAATATTCTGATATCTGATATTCTGTTTGTGTGTTTTTAATTTTTCCAGTTTTCATATGAGTTAGTCTGAGGTTGTTATGCTGCTGTAGTTTAGCAACATGAACGACGAATGCCTCTGCATGACGGTGACTTGTGTGTCTCTGTGACCATGGAAAACTTGGTCTCCCAAGGCAAAGTGTTCACAAGTGAGGGGCAAGACAGGGTGATTGAAATACCTCTAACTACAAAGAACAACCCCAGGCAGAATTAGGAAACCAAGGATCCTCCAGGAGGCGATCCCAACAGGGGAGCAGCAGGTGACCTGCCCTGCATGCATGGGGCCCTAATTGAGCTAAGGCCAAAGAGGTAGGGACACCGGCATGTAGGAACCTGCAAGTTTAGCTGCAGGGATCTGGTGTTTGGCCAGTTGGGTGGCAAGCAGAACCATGGGTCCTTGTCTTGCTGACCCCTATCAAGCTCGTGCAGGAGGTGTATACCAAGCACCAAGGTGAGTACCAACTATACAGTACATACAGTAGATGAATGCACAACACCTGCACTGGAACCAAACTCTCGGATAGGGGCTGGATTCTGGGTATAAGGATACTGACCTGTGTGTTATGTTTTAACAGGCTGGACTCAAACAGGGGGTTATAAAGATGAAGGTTTTTATTGAGAATAGGTAAACGATTATTGGACGAAAGCCAGGGTTGGAGCTGGCAGGGAGTGTGGAGGTAATACCTGTCAGAAGAGAATGGGTTGAAGTGTGGCTGGCACACTGGGAGGAAGCAAATGGGAAGCGAATGGGGCACAAAGAACACACATTTTTGGCAAACACATAAGGAGCCTGACAGAAAACTAACGAGAGTAACTGCTACAGAGGTTGAAATAAGGAGGTTGATGGTGCGATTTGAGGCACGTGAGCCGACTGATGTGTAGGTGCAGGCTGACAAACACACAGAGAGAAACAGACAGGGGAAAACAGCAGATGGGGGAAGGGGAGGAAGAGCTGGAGACAGCCTTTAACACTGTCTAAATAACTGCTTTGGTGGGAGCGCGTTGCTTCAGGGATATGTGAGACAATGAAATACGATCCTGGAAGTTAAAACACTGCACGACGGTTTGTAATACTCACAAACAGAACTTTACAAAGCTGGAATTTTCCCACAGCGGCAACAATTTCATCTTTCAGTGCGAAGATTGTGAGGTATAAAAATGGGCAATTCATGATACAAAGTTATCTACCAGATATGTGCGTTTCTGTATTTGTGATTGACCAAGAGCAAAAGTTGAGGCAGGTTCAACTTCTTAGCCAGAAAACCGTTCGTTGTTCAGCCTGACTTCCCCTGTGTTGGCACCCCCACCTCACTGACGGACTGGCTCCATTCAAAGGAATGAGAGGGCTGCATTTTTCACACATGCTTCAAGTCAGTCTGAACACTGCCTGGAGGGGACACATATTTGCTGTTGTGGCCCCAACCCCACCTCTTGCATTCAGTGCAGCAGGTACTGTGTTGTCTACATGTTCACACTGAGTACCCTGCACACAACAGACTATACATATGACATATAAGACCGTTCCCCAAAAAAACCTCATGTTTGGCATTTCCCCTTCCAGTCCAGCGACAGGCGTACTGGACATTAAGTACGGTTGCAGTTTGGTGGGGTTTAAGTAACAAAACTGCTTGGTTAGGTTTAGGAAAAGATTGTGGTTTGGGTTAAAGTCAGCACATGATGTAAGTAAGTCATCTACAAAAAGTTATCATTCACATCATTTCTGAATTTCTTCCACACAGGAAAGACTCTCAATTCTTGGTCTCCTGAGTAAAAGAGTTTTCCTTCACTAATCCGTACACCCCGCCACCTTTTTCACATAGACTTTGTCGCTCTTTATACTATATCACCTGACTTCTTCTGCCACTAGAGGTCGTGGCTTAACAAAAAAAAACATATACTGAACAAAATTATACACGCAACACTTTTGTTTTTCTCCCCATGTGGCATATGAAGATGCTGATCAGACAGCATGGGTATTGCACAGGTGTGCCTAAAGCTGGCCACAATAAAAGGCCACCCCTCCTGACTGCAACTTCACACAGCCATTGAAGAGGAGTGAACCAACACTCCACAGGTCACAATCAACAACCTGATCAACTCTTTGCGAAGGAGATGTGTTGCACTGCGTGAGGCAAATGGTGGTCACACCAGATACTGACTGATTTCCAGAACCCACCACAATACAGTGAAACTGCACATTCTGGAGTGGCCTTTTATTGTGGCCAGCCTAAGGCACACCTGTGCAATACCCATGCTGTCTGATCAGCATCTTGATATGCCACACCTGTGAGGTGGATGGATTATCTCGGCAAAGGAGAAGTGCTCACTAACACAGATTTTGACACATTTGTGAACAATATTTGAGAGAAATGGGCCTTTTGTGTACAGAGAGAAAGTCTTAGATCTTTGAGTTCAGCTCATGATGAATGGGGGCAAAAACAACAGTGTTGCGTTTATAATTTTGTTTAGTCTAAATATGGATCGCAAAAAGCTATATAATTATCAACCTGTACCATGTTCTTTTCCGTTGAGGACGTGCTGGGTAATGAACTTGTTGCTGGGTAGTGCAACACAACATATTCGCTATTATCCAAATGACCAAAATACAATGTGATCCGAGAGCCTTTGAGGATGCTGGGGAAGTTGTCTGGCTTTGCCAGTTGGTAGTCCAGCTTTGCAGTTAGAAACACATTGTATTGTACAAGGAAATGATTTAGTGAGCATCACTGATATATCAGATATCAGCATCACTTTCCGTTTAGTTGGTTCAGATTACAATTTAACAAACAACTCTGCGAAGACCAGACATTGTTCCCACCTGGACAAACAAACCACACTAAAGGAGGAAACACTCGTTGATGGTCATGTTTGCTTCTTTTTTACCACAGAATAAATTAGGAATGTGCCGCTGCCTGTTATAATGTACATAGGCAGTGGTTTACATTTACAACCGAGTGGCACTGAACACATTTGCACTGACAGTGGAAGCAGAGAAGTATTGGGTTAATCAGAGTCGGCAATCGCTTCCCCAACACATAAATGTAGTCTGAAAGCACTATCTTTAAATTGATAATAACCCAAAATGATGACACAAAAGGATTTTTAGGTTTTGTAGATTATAACCTTTATTTTTATGGCATTTGATGACTATATATTCAACATATAACCATACAAAACGTTATCCTTTACATCCATTGCACATTATTATACACAGGTTACAGTGATACAACAAGAGCATGATTTGTCTGTAGCAACAGCGGTGGAGGCTCAATGTTACTGCAGTATTTAGAGTTCAGCTAATTACTGGTAGCCATGATATAATCCGATGGCCCCACAGACGGCGGCCTTGGTACTCCGCTCTCTACAACTTTTTTTTCTTCCTCATTTGTTCTGATTTCTGTCCCTCTCTGGTCACCAGAGAAGAACTTTTAAACATTAGACTTTCCCTTGCTGTCTACAAATGTTGTTGTTTTTCTTTATGTGTATGTGTGTTTTTGTACATGGTAGTTTGTGTCTGTTTTTGTTGAGCTTGTTCGTTCATCCTTGTTCTGTGAATGTGCAGTGAGAGCAATGTAAGAGGGGAGTAAAATTCCTCGTATGTGTACACATACCTGGACAATAGAAGAGTTTCTGATTATGATAACAAACAAAATATGTGTTACATGACTCCAGTTCAAGTAAATAAGTAACCAGGATATCGTTTAAAGGAAAAATTCAAATAGGAATACAGAAAGAGGAAAAACACATCCAGAAGTGAAGTGAACAGAACGTGCTAATTCTCTTTAATCTGAAACAGGGACCTGTTTTTTTGGTGAGTGTAACACAGCTGACAAGTATTCACCCTCAACTTCCCTTTATTGCCACACATCCAGGGAGGGGGTGGATTAATAATCTCAGCAGTTAACAGATTAGTCACTCCTTATTCTTGGGAAATACAAGTGGGCAAATTTACCAAAACTTTGTAGTTTTTACACGGCTCCCTTTGGTATCGTGAGAACCAGTCAGCCTGCCCGACTGAAAACAGATACCAGGGTTGTGATAGCAGTATTATCTAAACAATCATACATTAAGTTTTGTTTTTCAACAGCACTGAAGCTAATAGCACTGAGGACTTGTCTGAGCTTGTGTGTAAAATAATGAATCACACAGAGGTATTCATTTCCATTGCAGATTAAAGTGCACAAGCCTTTCTGATTGGTGAGCTGCTTGAGACAGAAAAATAATCAGGTTTTTTTTTAAAAAGTGTAACCACACGACAATGACGCTGGAGGTTCAACAGGCTCATATTGCTTACGTAAATGTCAACAAACCTCATGAAAAGACCAAACCCTACAGCTGTAGATGAAAGATCCTGCTCCGACCAGCAACCTGATATTGCGTAAAGGTACAAGACTGTAAGTTGATAAAACAGCTTGTGTGAGTAAACATGACCTCTGGGAAAATGTAACTGAAGCAGATTCTCTTTGATTCTCTGTTTATGTTTTTTTGAGTCTTTTTCCACAACAACAGTGTGTTAGTCCGTCTCTCTATACATTCAGACTACCTGGCTCTTAGCCCCAAGCCCACAGAAATATTTTATGTATGTATAAAATTTTATATATATATATTTTTTTTATTTTTAATTTTTTTTAAGGCTCAGTTATTCCAAAATAGTGCATTTTTCTAAAATGAGGCTTCAGCTGTCTGAGAGTCTTTTTTACTACAAAACTCCCCTTTTATGTGTTTACCTGTAGAGCTAGTATGCAGGAATATTAACACAAACAGGGACAATCGTGCAAAAAACTAAACTTTGAAAGCTACGTACTTGATTTGACCATGTAAGCTTCAGATTTGGACACATTTTTTTGCACAAAGCGAGGACAGAGCATGATGAACCTTTGAACCTTTCCTTCAAGAATGTTAAAATGCTTTTGGCCACACCCTTATACAAATAGTGACGTCATAGCTAGTGTCCTCATAGTTACCTTTCTGACACACAAGAGTACACTTTTTAGTAGCTGTCAAAAGCAAAACACCTACTTTGGCATCACTGACGGGGGGCGTGGACAGCTTAAAACATGCCTCACTGATCCCACAGAAAGCAGTGTTGAATTAACTCGACCACTCGACATCATTCCTGGAGAAATGACCAGGTCTTCATCTCAGAGAACCACTCCAAACCTGGAACCAGATCACTGGTTTGTGCCAGAGGGTGTCAGATTACCATTTGTTTGCTGTACTGCAGATACACATCCATGAGTTTGCATGAGTGGCAGTTAACGGCAAGACAACAGCTGAATTGATTGCTGTTTTTTCACCTGTGTTGTTCTGTGTTCACAGTTGTTCCTCTCATTCTCTCTCTCCTTGTGAATCACAGTTTTGACAGCAGCAGAGTAATGACTCACGCCTGCAAGGTGTCACAAAGCAGCCGGCCTGGTGACCTCCCGGTCGGCGCCTGTCACACAATAATGTGACATTTGGTGTCCTTGCAGAAAGTCTTGGCATTTAGCCTTTGTGCTTGAACAATCTGCTGAGCAAACGCGATTTCTTCAAGGTGGCCAACACACAATAAACATTAACTTTTAACTTTAACCATTTAAACACTCAACTTAATCCATGTACGTACTTTGACTGATAAATAAGCAGATGCGTACTTCTACATGAGATTACAAAATCAGCGATAGCACAATCTTAACTTTCCAGCCTGAATTCTTGTCCAGGAACAAAATCTGATAGCTCCCTCAAACAGAGTGTTCTCTGTCGAGTCTGTCTGAAAAACTGTTGGCTATAAATGGTAATTTGCTTGACCTCCTTCCTTGAGTGTCTCTAATCATCTTGGGGATGATAAGGTAAATGCAATGTTTCAAGATCTCAGGATTCAAATAAAACTGGGGGGAAAGCCTTCAGTGAAAGACAGAAGGAAGAGAGCTGAAAAGTGAGAAAATAAATGTGATAAATATGTGCACAAACAGGCACTTACTGGAGGTTTTCTTGGATTGGCAGCTATTCTGGTTTGCAACAGGTTTTTCTTCCTCAGGCTGCAGCCTTTTTTGTGTTTTTCATTAAGTGTCTGTGTTTGTTTACATGTACTTAGCATCTTATATTGTCTTTAACATTCGACATTTCACAGCTTCCATCCTTTTTTTCTTTCTGTTCCAGCTCTCAGCAATGCAGTTGATGAGTAAAAATGTACCCCAAGTCTTAGGAATGAACTTGTTAAAACAAGACCAGACAGACTTTTCCTTTGCCTGTGAAGTCCAGCTGCTTCACAGCCTTTTTCAATTGATGTGGAGGGAAAATATTTCTATCCTGAGTTCATACCAGACGTCAGTTCATACCAAACTGAATAAGCCATCTGACTAATTAGGGACAGTTCTCTGTTGCAGAAAGAAAAACCTTCCAACCTTGCAAAAGTATGATGCACCGATCGTATTTTCTTCCGAAACTGTATCTGTGTGTCAGGTTCTGTTAAAAAAAACCTTCTTTGTTTTTAATCCCTGTGAATGTTTCCCTGTTTACGGATCAGTTGAGGCTGCTGGACAAAGAGGTATTTGTGTCTTACCTGGGGTTTTGTTCTGGGTGGCAAAGCTGATCCAGAGGAGGAAACAGGCCAAGGTGTGTATCGCTGACATGATTTCCTTTCAGCTACGCAGATTTACAACTCAAACGGACACAGAAACCCAGCGCAGACAGGTCTGTAGCTCTGTCAGTGAGGCGACTTCAGGCGAGGCTATCCCCTCTCAAGCAGGGTCTTCCTTGCAGCTGTGTGGGTGGTTTGGCATCACACACAAACACACACACACAAGGAAAAAGGAAGAGAAAAAAATAATTAGAGGCACATTTCTGATGAAACTGACATGAATATACACAATACAAAACGTGACGGCACATGTGCAGCCTTCAAGGGAGTGAGATTTGCAGCTGAAGCCCTGCACTCTTTCATCCACCGCAAAAATCTGGAACCATTTTCTTCCGCGTCAGTCCCCTCTCTCGTTCCTTCAGCTAATCCCCTGCATCTTCCTCTTATCTCTCGAGTGGTTTAAGAGACAGAGAAGAAGATACATCTGTTGTTCATGCACAATAAACCCTTATCTTGAACACTATCTTAAGTATCCAAAGCAAACACAGGTGAACTTGGTACCATAATTCAAAGAGCGCGTGGAAATTTGAGGTATATCCAGGCCGCTGATAAAGCAGTAAATTAGTCTTAAAGGTTGAGGAAGTTTTTAGGGGGGGGGGGGGGGTGAGTCAGCTTCATGGTGATGAAGTGTTGTGACGTTCGTTGGCAGGAGGTGAGTCAGGCGAGCTGTGGGTGACATTGTTAGAGTCTTCATGTGTTTACACTGGATCCTTCCTGTAATGAAGCTGAAGACAATTCCCTTTTAAAGTATTATGCAGTGCAGACGAAGCACATTATCTCATCCTCACTGCTGATGGCTTTACGTTGGCAGAAGAAGAAGGGCAGCATTTTTGTTGGATTTTCTCCAAATAAATCCTCTTGGTCACAGAGAAAAAAGCACTGCAGCGGTTGATCAAATGCCACACTAAATGAGAAATGACTTTTGTCTTGGCTTGAGTCCATTTTTCGAAAGCAAGCTGACAGACGACTTTTGTCTCTTGGTTTGTTGTTTTGAAACAAAACATAAAATTTAAAAAAAAAAAAAGATAAATTTGGTAAATGTACTTGTGCAAATGTGCAGAAAACCAAATCAATAAATTAATTCTAATTCCAAATGAGTAAACTTTTAACAGAGAGGCCATTTACTAATTGCTGGAAAACAGGTGCACTGAAGCCCCATCAGCCCAAAACAGATGACTTTGCAAGGTCAAATAAGGTTAAGCAAGGCTACTAGCTCCAGAGCACAGTTCATTACAGCTAAACTGTGTTAAATTGAGCTTAACACTAAAATGCACACAGCAACAAGTATCATGTAGAGAAGAATATATTAAATAAAATATGGGAAATTGCAACAAGACGTCGATAAACGAGTGTGCAGGGACTGAAAACATAGAGCTTTAAAGAGAGGACAGTCTGTACGGTGTGTTTTTGTAAGTGTTGTTCACTTAAAGCACACAGAGTTTAAGATAAACTGGGACAAATGAGGCCAAAGAGATGTTGTTAGTGTCTTAATAACTTTGCATCCAGCAATGCTTTATAATATTAGGTATTAGTGACACCTAGATATTCTTTAAACACTAATAATAACTCTTTCACCTCTGGTGCGCTCCTTTGTTATCTTAAACTCAATGAGCCTTATATTAATAATGTTTACATGTACATATAGCCTGTATATTTGTTTCTCACCTGAACTTAAATGTTTGGTATGTGAACAGCCCACTCCGCCTCTATGTGACAGGTCCTTTCATGCCTCCTGAGGTATGTGTTTATGTCATTCATTCATCCGTTCCTTGTTTCCTGTTTTATTTTGTTACTCACCGCTCCTCTCGTTTCAGACCACTTCACTTCCTGTCCTTTTGTGATTCCGACCTGCGAGATCGTTGTCTCCCTCCCCGCCACTGATTGGTTTCACCTGTCCAGCATCACCTTCTACCTCTAGTGTTTGTGTGTTTTCTGATCCTGCCTTTGCTGATTCCCTGTCGGACTGTTTACCTGCTACCTGACTGTTTACCTGTGTACCGAACCCTCTTTTGAAGAGTAAAGACTGTGTTTCTGAGTCGTGTATTTCAGTATTTTTGCCGCTATGCAACTTTAAAACTTTTGCATTTGTATAAAATAAATGTCTTAATTGTTTATGTAATTAATAAAGTATTGCACAGTTTCCACTAAAAATAGGCGACAGCAAATGAAACACTTTTTTTAAATATAAATAATGACTTATTAAAACCTTTATAGCACTTACTCTTTGATCTCAGGTAAGCTCTGAGCTTATCTCGTCAAAAGCGGTGGAGTGAAGCAGCTTTCATCATGGACCACATGTGATTTAAGTTTGTGTTCAACCAGCTGATTCCTTTCATGAACAAACTCTTTCTTAGAAATTTCTGGGCAGTTTAAAGCTCATCCCAGCACTGAAAGTGACCTTTTAGCTGCTGACCCAAAAACAATAGTTTGGATTCTTCTAGACTTTAGAGCATTCAAAGTCAACAGTATACTAACTTTGCAAAATGAATGTATTATTAATTGTAGTAGTTTTACAGAAAAACATAGTACTTACAGTTGCTCCTGGACATCAGCAGTAAAACATCTCTTGATAACTACAATAAGTCACCGCTTCATAGTCCTGTGATGCCACATTGAGCTGTTACAGCACTGAAATCTGTCCCATGTCAGGAAATCTGAGAAAACACTTACAGTGATTCAGCTGAAGCTCCTAGTCAGATGAAATCCACGAGAAAGAGGAACAAATGAAGAGCCGAGTCTGCTGCCTCCTGAGACTGAGTGACTGGATCAACAGGTTATTTAGAGAAAAGGCAGCGCACACACACACACACACACACACACACACCCTCACACACAAACATTTCACCAGACACAGAAGGTACTTTAGGGAGGGTAAGGTCGCTCCTCACACACACACACACACACACACACCCTCTGACTGGGTGGAGTTTGGTTGTGATTGGCAAACACACACAATTACACACTAACCCCTCCACAGGAGTCAGTGTTTCCTCTGCTGTCCCATCAAATGTCAGTGGGGTTTGCTTTCAAAGTGTAGAGCTGTTTTAGTGTGTGCTGTGTGCCTTGTGCTATGTGCCGCTATGTCAAACAGCCAGCCAGAGACCAAACACAAGCACACGAGACTACAGGCAAGAACTGTCTTTTTCTCTGTGTTTACTTGTAATCACACGTCGCACACAAAACAAACAAGAGCTGCATCTAATGAGGCAGCACATCCAATGTTGTAATGTAATGTTCATCTTTTTTAGCACCAGGAGACTTCCTTTTACTCATGTTTAAATCATCATGTAGTCACGTTTCGTTGCAGCTGAAAAGAAAAGTAAAACATTCACAGATGACTAACCTTCAGTTAGTTTAGTACATTGTTCTTCTTTTCAGAGAAGCCACAGTTACATTCATCTGGAAGCTGGACGGGAAAAAGTCTGACCTTCTGGCTGCTTGGGTTAAAGGCACAAAGTGGTGGTAATGAGGGAGGGACAGGTGCTGCTCATTTACTTTGACCTTTTACCTTTTATTGCACAATTATGACTGATAAGACTTCATTCTTAACAATCCAATAAACAAACATAATGATTTTTTCCACTGTTCTTGTTTCACACGGCGGGGTCAGGCGGGGACAGGAGGGGCATCCAGCGAGAGGGAGGTTAGGCATGTAGGGCCAGAATAATTTCACACTTAACTCTGTGAATTAAAGGTTTATTTCTATCAAGCTATACTTAGTTACTGTTGGAACAGTTGAGATACTAAACAAGGCGGTTCTGGTGAGTTTTATTTTGTTTCCGTCATTTGAATAAAGTTTTACGATGCGTTAACAAGGCAAGTAGTTTAATGTGTAGGAATATTTCCTTTCTTCACATTTTGTGAAGTTTATATAGTTTATTTGTTGACTGAAAAAACTAAGAGAGCTTCCGTATCAGGGTGAACTCGCCGCTCCCAGCTGAAAGTACGAGGGAGGCCTGAGCTTTACTATCGGACTGTCGCCTCTTGAGGAACTAAGTTGTATTACAGCACAGGACGAGCCTCAGCAGATATCTCAACAACACAATACATACGCATCTCTTCACACACATGTTTTAAACTCAAATCATGGCCATATGTGACGCGTTGTACCTTTAAGCGGCACTTTGTTGGGCACAAAACTGATAAAACAAAGACAAGTACAAAAGTACAAACATCAACTTGTGAATGGCCTGATGATTTATTAAATGTTAATAAGTAGTGGATTACTCAGAATAGAGGACTCTGCAGTAGATAATGATGAGTTAATAGAGAACAGACTGGGAGATACTAAATTAATGAATCATTAGCAATCATTCTCCCGCGACCCGACCCAGGATAAGCGGATGAAGATGGATGGATGGATGAATAGTAATCATTCATTAATAAAGATCAACATGACGACCCTTCCTCTTGACTTGTTCCAGTAACAACTCATTAATTACTTAACATCATTTACTGTTTTGTGATCATACTGAGCAGTTACTGAGTTATCCCTGCTTACTTCATAATCATCCGGCAATCAGCTGCTACTTTTGTGCCCCAAAAGTAAAGTAAAGCGTCGTCCTATAAAGAATATCTTAATCTTAGTACTCAGACTGCAAAGTGTTTTGTTTGTATTTAAAACCAACCAATAACTGTTTGAGAAGCAACTTAAAGGTTCAGTGTGTAATATTTCTGAGGATCTATTGACAGAAATGCAATAAAAGATTCGTAACATTATTTCAGTGGTGTATAAAAGACCTTACATAATGAAGAGTTGTGTTTTTATTACCTCTGAATGAGCCATTTCTATGTACATACACCGCGAGTCCTCTTACATGGATGTCACCATGTTGCGCCTCCATGTTTCTATTGTAGCCCAAATGGACAAACTGCGCTACAGAGCGCGTTTCATCACTATGTTGAATACGTACAAAGAATAGGAACTAGCAGTAGTAGTCTTCTGGTTTGTTTTGAAATTTGGACAAATGGAGGACTACATGTATTATTTAGCGTGTCACATCCACTGTAGCTTCTCTTACGAGCTTGCAAAGGGAGGGGTGAGCGGCAGCTGAGAATCTCGTTTCCGCTGACCTCCAGTGGTTTCACTCCTCATACTTGCTACAGCGATGTGCAACACGGCAGAAACTTTACACCAGTGCGGGCAGTCAAACCCTGCTTCTCATACTGGTGTTGAGTAAAAAAGAACTTCTTGGTAAAACGATAATAACGCTGTGATGTGGACTTTAACACAACCAGCTTTGGTCTCTTGAGTATTTTTTCAGGTTGCGAGTCACTTCATTTCAACACCTCTGATGATGCAAGGAGATAATTCCTCAAATTTCTCAATTGCCAAACACCACACTGAACATTGACGCAACACCTCAAATTGCATTTTTTTTGTTTGTTTGTAGCTGCATAGCTCGTTAGGCTGCACATGCACGCGTGTTGTTATTAGTGTGTGTGTGTGTGGTGGATTATATCTTCTGGAGGTGTAAACTGAGGAAGGCGCTGCGTGAGGCTGGATTAGACGCAGCTCGTTCCACTCCGGCTCGGATTAAACCTCGGCCGATATTTACAACCTTTTGTTATTTGAGCTGCTTCCAAACTCCATGATTTATTTCCTCGTAAAAAAAAACACACACAAATACACACAAGTGGGAGGTGTGTGCTAACCTCATATAATCACACCAGGTGCCTGTTTTTTCATTGTCCGCTGAGAAAATCCTGATTACTGATGGATTCATGTGTGTGTGACTGTTTGTAGGTTAGTGAAAGATTGCTGTGGCTGTAGATAAGAGGATTATTGTGGAATTAGTGTCATTCCTCTATATCGCCGCGAGGAATAGATTCATATCGATTTTAATCAGAGATAGAAAGATCCACAAAACTGCAGATAAAACAGACGCAGACAAGCTGCGAGAGAGAGAGAAGCTGGAGGGACCGAAGAGAGATTCCTGGAGATCCGCGGGGATGTTCAGCTGGAGACCGGGGAGCTGCACAAACACCTGCTGCAGACACATGTGAACATACAAGTAGGAACATATGCATTTAAGAGAGAACTTCATGTATTTGCCATGTTTGGAAGTCTTGCCTACGTTCTGGAGCTCTCTGGTTGAGGAAAACTTCCAGCCACAGTGGGATGTTTGACCACCAGAGTTAGCCTGCCGGGTGGTCTGGGCAGCCGACTGCAGGGACGTGGAGCTGTGGCCGGGATGCTGGCGTTGCGTCAGTTGTGGCGGGGAAACCTGTGAATCATGAAAGTGGACGTGCTGACTTGCATGGCTCTGGCCGTGGCCAGCCTCGTCGCCATGGTGACCGGCGGCCGCAGCTCTGGACGCAGAAAGCACAAGGAGGTCTTCCTCGGGGAGAACAGGAAATTCAAGTTTGGAGGGTGAGACGCACAAACGGGACACTGACACATTTGTGACAGCTTAGTGTGAAATGATGTAAAACCAGCGAGTCAGCAGATGATTAGATTCATCTTTCTCAAACCAGATCTGTTTGTGCTTCTTAAACTGTTTTGGCCTCTTGGGGGCAGAGCAACACGCTGTAAACACAACATCGACATAACATCTAACAAGAAACGGCTGATGGAAAGTTTTTCCGTTCGCTTCAGGTGGTTTTCGCCTTTGTTGAAAAAGAGCTAATGCGCTAAATGGGAGATGCCGAGTAAGTTGTGACGTAGCGAACTTGTAACTCACGTCTGATCAGCTGTTTCCGCGGTCGGCGTCGTGCCGGATATTCCCGCTTAAAATTCACAGGACAGTGTTTGTGGCCACTATCTTAGTTTAGCATGTTAGCATGCTAAACTAAGCTGTTGAGGGGAATGTCATTAGGTTTGCAGGTATTTTGTATTTGGTCCTAAACCAAAGTTGGACAAATAATTTTTACATTTAGGTGTTCGACTGATTCTTTAAAAGAATTACTTTAAATACTTTTCAGGTGTGTTATACCAGAAGCGGCTAACGTAACCTCAAAACGCAGAGATGAGACTGATCGATTAATACCTCAAATGTTTTACTTGAGTACAGATGTCCTTCAGCCAGTTAGTAGTGGAGTGTAACTAGGCCAAGTATATTTATTCAAGCATTGTACAAAGTACAAATTCAAGGTACTTGTAGTAGAAGGATGAAGTGTTCCCTCTTGGGTTGAGAAAATGATGCCCCACACCCCAGGAAACTTTTGCTTGAGTAAAGGATCTGACTAACTCTTCCAGCACTTGTCAGCAAGCTGTGATTTCACTTCTAAGGAACACGTCCCACAGAGGTTCCCATGTTTCCCTCACTTTCATTTCCCTGTTTCACATAAAAACCACAAATGACCTAAACCACGTATTATTTTTATTTTTAAGGGTGAGCTCATGGCAATATCCTTCCCATGGTAATTTTAGTAGGACTGTGCTGATTATGATTGCTCACAGCAGACAACTAGCCACTGGAGGTTTGAAATATTCCTGCTATGGCAGAGTGCGCTGCTTACACAACCTTTTTATTTGAGAGAGAGAAAAAAAAGTTTTCCTGGTGCTTCTGGTGGAAAGAATGAGAGGATGAATGCAGCTTCAGTTCTGTGCATCTCTAACAAGCTGTGTCAGTGAGTAAAATCACTGAACAGATTTCTGAGTGCTGAGTGATAATCAGTCTCCTTAGAAAAATGTTTATTTTAAACACTAATATGAAGAATAACTTACAAATTAGACCCCGAAGCAGTGAAATGTAGTTATTATTTTTATTTAGCTTTAGCTTTAGGACTAATTCTAAAACGATAAAGAATATAAACAGTATTAGTATATTTATGAGGAGGGTCGAGGGTGGGGAAAATAGATTTAAACAAGAGAGGAGAAATTGAGAGTTTCTATCACTAATTAGAAATATTGGTATTAGCACTAAGTAAAGGATCTAAATACTTCTTCCAAAGCTAATGAGGTCAAACACATCACAGAGATTTGGTAAATTATATTATCCAGCTGACTCTCTAAAAGATGGTTAATTGGCATATTGATGGAGACTTAAATTACTTTAACCAACACATGCAGCTGTGTGTGTGTGTTTAGTGTAGTATTACAGGAGTGTGGTTATGGTTGAGCGCTGCTGTCAACAGTAGCAGCCAGGCTGCCCTCATCTGTCTTGCCTGACTTGAGGTTGGCGTGTGTGTGTGTGTGTCTATCTTTACGAGGACCAAGTGTTTCCATTTGTCATTATATTCGTCCTTCCTGTCAGTGAAATTATAGAGTTAATATTGTGGTTAGGTTTGAGTCCAGTGAGTTAATTGAATTAGCATCAGGGGTTGTTAAATGTTTGTTTGGTGGCACTGCAGCATTTGTTTCAAGGTTAATTTGAGGGATTACAGAGATTGGATTTGGCTCAAATAAATAGTCTGGCCTCACAACAACAGGAGACTAAAAATGTGTGTGTGTGTGTGTGTGTGTGTGTGTGTCAAGGTGTGTTACTTTCAAAGAGGCTTTTGATCCGTCAGCGGAGAAAATCTCAAACAGCTTTTATCTCTTTTCCCATCGTATGCTCACCTGTGAACGGCACACGTGTGTCTAGCCACTCTAAACGCACACACACACACACACACACACACACACACACACCAGCATGTGTTACAGCTGAGAGTCAGGCTGTAATTATACCTTCAACATCCTGAACGTCGCCTCGTCACAGTTTCCCTGGTTAAACATCAGACATATTTAACAGTTTATAGTTACTTTAACAGCACAGTGTGGTCACGTGTTGTCTGAGAACAGCACTAGTAGATACAAACTTTGCATTTGTTTTGCTTGACCCGATAAAACAGTTTGAGAAACTTACTTTGACTTTCAGGTCATTTCAGCCACACACATCTTGGTCTTCATCAGTGACCAGAGCAACCTTGAGCAGACACGGAGGCTTCCCCTGATTTACAACCTGTTATTATGTAACCGATTATGTTACATACATCCAGGTCAGGGGATAACAAGCTGTGGCTGAAAGCTCCAGAAAAACAAAGAAAGTGGACCTTGTGATGAAAGTTTTTTTTTTACCAATAAGACCTAAAAACCTCACCCACCTAAGAAATGTGTGACGAGCTGCCAACTAAACTCTGGTGTCTGATGTAGATGGAGATATTATATCACAATATTAATTACATTCATGTAAAAGCAGGATTTTACTGTTGTTAAGCTGGAGCTCATTTTGAACTTTAGTGTCTGACTGCAACTAATAATTATTTTCATTATGGATGCTGATTATTTTCTCTATTATTTGATTGATTTCTTTGTTTGTTTTTTTTTAATTAAGAAAATAGTGACAAATACAGCCAATTACCCAAAAAATCTTGACATTTTTGAAGCTGGAACAATGAAAGCTTTTAGCATTTTTGCATGAAAAATGACTAAACGATTATCAAAATAGTTGCCAGTTAATTTTCTGTCAATACCTTAATTGTCAGAACAGTAAATAACTCAACACCTCTATAACGTGAGACAGGTGCGTCGGAGGGGGGCAGCAGGAGAGTCAAAAGTAGCAGAGAAAAACTCCCGCACACGATCTAACTTGCAAAAAATATATATTGACACGTTTTCTTTTTGGGTTATATGTCATGTGTATTATGTTTTTTCCTCTGTTTATCTAGTGTTATGTTTATTTGCTATTTCCTCTAAGTTATTTGTCTATTGATATATAAGGCACCAGTAAAATTTGCGAGTATGTTTATTTATGAGTGCCCTTTATGATAATGTTTTGATGTACATTCAGTATACAGAAATCAACATTCATGCCATGGAAATATGAATTAATGTTTTGCAATGGCTGCCTTATTTCATGAGGAAGTAGGTGACTGGTGCAGACAAATAAGTCACCTCCTACAAAAGATGGCTTCTCACCATGTAGCACCATTTGCCTGATGAAGGTCTACCGAAACGTTGTGTCAGTATGTATTTTTCGCATGTTAGACTTAATTGTCTAATCGTTTCAGTTGTAATATTAAAGGTTCAGTGTGTAAGATTTAGGAGTATCTATTAACAGGAATGCAATGTAATATCCATAAAGTTAAAATTTTATTACCTTAGAATGAGACATTTCTATCTGTTTCGGATAAACAGCGCTACAGAGCGCTTTTCGTTCTGTAGCGCTGTTTGTCCTGTTGGGCAAACGTCACTACGTTGAATGCGTATGAAGAAGAAGAAGTAGCAGTTTAATAAAAAGGTTGGTGAAGAAAGGCCTCATGGGAAATGAACTGTAGCATGCATATTATCTGCATTACGTTATTTGCTCCCAGCAGGCTGTTCCATCAGTGCTGCAGTTGCACTGAGGATTGTTTTGTGGGTGAGATAGAGAACATGCGTGTTTGTTTGTTTGTTCATGGTGCCTTTGAGTAGGGTCATGGCTTTGGCAGGATGAGAACAAATGGCGAGGAGGAAGTGTGGGGGAGAGCGGAAGAGAAAACCTGCAATTACAGATGTAATAAACCAACTAATCCCTGAACACACTGTGTGTTTGTGTTGTTGTTGTTGTTGTTGTTGTTTCCGCAGACGTATTGACTACAAACTGAAGAGGCAGGACAGCACCAAAACGCTGCTGATAAAAAGTGAACAGCTGCTGAGGATCGAGGAGCACGACTTCGCTATGAGACCAGGGTTCGGAGGTCAGACACACACATTTGTCTTTATATAGGCTACATGTGAGGACCTTTGATTACGTAATGCATTCCCCAGCCCCTAACCTTACCCATCACAACTGCCTCAAACGCCCCAACCTCGACCTTTTAAACAAGTCTTAACCTTCAAACAGTCCTTTGAAGTGTTGAAGTAATATGTCCTTACAGTGCAGAAATGTCTTCGCTACAGCTATTTGAAACTGAAACTGGTCCTCACAAAGATAGCAAGACACGCCCACACACACAAAACAATGGGACACCTCATTTCATCCCTGATCCCTTTAATCCACTCACTCACACGTCCTCCCACAAAATAAAAAACAATATCACTCCTGTCCCGCGCTGATGATGCGTAAAGCGGTGGATTGATGATGCGACCATGGGCACTGGGTCACCCAGACATCGGGAATGTGTCAATCCAAAAGTCGGCAACACCAACACTGACCCAGATTATGCTATTGTGTGTGTGTGTGTGTGTGTGTGTGTGTGTGTGTGTGTGTGTATTGTGCATTTGAAATACAGTAGGACTGTGTGTGCTCACTCAGATGTGATTGTGTGTCCCTCTGTGGGTTTGGGCAATATAATGAGAGCGTGTGTGAGTGTGTATTGTGTGAGTCGAGGGGAGATGTGTGCATTAATCTGGATTATATTCCAGGTCTGGAGCAGATGGAGGGGTTGGAAACTAACTGACGTCTGCAACAAAGATCATCAGTATCAAACACACAACAGTAGACGCAGAGAGGCACATTTGATGAGAATAGTTAATAATAATAATAATAATCGGCATTGTGGATTTAAATGAAATTATGAACTAAAAGCTCTAGAGGAAATAAACATTGTAAGTCTGTGTATGCACATCAGAAGGAAGGAAGTAATTACGTACATTTCCTCATCATTTGAAGATTATGCTACTCGAGTATTACCATTTTAGGAGACTTTCTGCTTTCCCTTCACAACATTTCTGAATATTGTACATTTTTGGAACATTTATGAGGGAAATATTGTACCTTTTCCTCTTCTACATGTATTTGAAGGCTGGAGATCCTTTGCATATACATTAATTAATTAAAATATCTGTAATCAGGTAAAATTATTACCTAAAAGGCAAACTTTTCACAAATTATTTTCAGGAACAGCCTTGTTTCAGATCTCATTTTTAATTTTTAAAACCATCTGTCTTCCTTCCTGTCTAAACAACCTTGGCTCCTATAAATGACAATTATACACTACTTAATGCTTCTGTCTAATACATTTTGGTGTAAAGATGCAGGGAGGTGGTCCGGGTGGATGGTGGTCACGTGACTGAGAACAGGATTCAAACCATAATCCTATAACAACAGCACTTTGGTATGGGTGGAAAAAGACAGTGGTTCTGGTAAGAGTGAAAAACACATGGCAAATAAACACATATGTAACCGGTTAACTTCAACGTATAGTGCTTTGGTTGCACAAACACTTGCCGACTTTGCAGATTTGTGAATTAAAAGCACTTCCTCTTTGTGTTCTTTGAAAACACATTGCTGTTGCAAATTAGTAGTATAACCATCTTTTGTAGGCAATGACGACAATGCCTCTAAAATAACTTGTTTCCCCAGTATCACTTCTGTGCAACTTCTACTCCACCACATCTCAGAGGCAAATATTGATTTATCTGACAGCTTTAGTTACGTTTCAACCTTTCATCCCCTTCCTGAAAACCATGTATTTCCAAATGTGGTAATTGTTTTGAGTGTTTGTGATAAAGGGAAGTATTAATTTGTTAGTCTGTTTGCTGAGAAAATCCTTCTCCTTCTTAAGCTAAATAAACTATACTTTAGTGAAAGTGAAATTTTGTGTGGGGGTATGTTGTTTAGGGTACTGACGTGATGGTGAAATTCCTGTTAGGAAGGTTAGGGAAGGACTCTGGTCACGGTTGAAAGAAAACTGATGGTATAAACAGGATTCGACCTGTGGTCTGCAGTTTGTGCGCCCAGTCATTGATCTCTGCCTAAGAGGTGGGTCCTGCAATTATGTCAAAAAAAACGTAAACATAGTTCTTTTTAAGTTTTTGAACAATGCTGTCATTTTTTCTAGGGATGACAGTCTCTTCCTTTCATTCGTTCGTTAATCTCTAAACATAAAAATCTCTAATCTTTGTCACGACCTCTGCTTTGGACTGGAAATACCTGGACTCCCATCCGTGAATCTTTTTTGAACCCTTGTGTTTTATGGCAATAATTTTATTAAGTTACAGTATTAAATCCTTCACCTACCAGTGATGTAAAAACAAATAAATATAAATAAATACTCCTATAAAAATGATTACTTAAGTAAAAGTATAATCACCAAAATCTTTCTATCAGGTTTAAAGTTATATTATTATATATTACACAATTGGATTATTACACTGTCCCAATGTTGTAGTTTTTAAGGAATTTAAAGGATTTTAATCCAGATTTGACCTCAACACTATCAGTAGGCTACTCAATATTATTATTACTACTATTTATCATTAGACATCTTTTAATACTGTAAAATACTTTACACATCAACATTTATGTATTTTAATTTTATATTTTAATTTTATATTTTCATTATTCTATTCCTTCAATGCCTTGAAGTGCAAAGTGAGCAACTGTAACAAATAAATTTGCCCTTTTTTGATTCTGATATTATTACTGATACACCAACATATATGCAGCATTTTAATTTTGTAGCTGGCCGAGGTGAAGCTATTTCTACTTATTGTATACGGTGGTTAGTTGATCAAAATTGCCAACTATTCTGATAATCGATTAATCATTTAAGTTCGTTTAGAAGCAAAAATGCAAACATTTTCTGTTTCTCACATGTGAGAACTTGCGGTTTTTATTTGGTCTTATGTCACAACAATATTATATTGATATTTTTGAGTTTAGAAGAGTGATGGACATTTTTAACAATTTTCTGATGTTTATAGAACAAAACAATTAAATGAGAAAACAATCAATAATTTAAAAAATCGTTACTTGCATTCTATACGCTCATTATTGGTTCTTAAAATCTTAATCTTCATAGTATCTGTGTCACATTAATGAAGTGGAGTATTAAGCACGAAGTACCTCTGGAAGTCAGGGAAGTAGGATTACATTAAGATTTGTTGTGTGAAGCACCGGCACCTTCAGAAGTGCACTTACAGGAAATGTCTCTGACGCTCACAGTCACACACAGCCTCCTTGTGGCCGTCGTATCGCCGACTGTCTCCGTCTCGTCTGTCTATACGGTTGGTTGGCGTCCCGCCTGTCGCTCAGGGCGGTTGCAACAAAAGCACCACTGTCTGCCCCACGGGCCTGCGGCATTTCCGTGGACTATAATTTTACACAGAATGAAATCTCAGCTTTTTCTGCCTCAGATAAGCCTATAGCTGCTGTGTGTGTTTGAGACCCAAGAAGCCGAGGAATCAAAACCACCTCACCCCCCCACTTCTCTCCGGGAACCACAGTCCTGAAATACACCGTGTGACGTTTCTTTTCTGTATCATCCCTGCTATCCAGACAAATCTTGGTGGCCTCTAACGTAAAGCCCTCTACTTTGGCTTTGGGCCCCAACTATATTTCAAACTTACTTAGATGCTCGGCTAGGACCCCCCTGTTGTTTCTTAAAAGTTGTCCTTTTGCAGTAAGGGCCCCTGGTTTATGGAACTCCCTACCTGACGATCTAGACCTCAGTGTCCTCTTTTAAATCTCATTTCAAAACCTATTGTTATGTAAAAGCCTTCTTATAGTGATGACATATTTTCTGCTTTTTTTTGTTTCATTTTATCTTGTTGCACATTTCTTTTTCCACTGGATTTTGCTTTTACAAGTTCTTTATTCCCTTATTGACCGTTTACCCCGTTTGTGTCACAATCCCTTTCTCTGTCTCTCTTCCTGGTTCTCCGGGCCCTTTCATTGCAACACGTCCTCATACCTAAACAACAAATTAGGTCGATTGTCAAGTGTCAGCGACAGGCTTACCGGATGTTAGCAAGTCCTGTAATCTAAGTCACATGGCGTTCTCTCCCTCATCAGCCCTTGCGGTACTTAACCAGCCCTTTTCCACTTACTCCTTGTGTGTCATGGCTTGGTTCCCTGTTTCTGTCTGTCTTACCCAATATTATGTAGCTGCAGCACTGCAGACCGCAGTTCTAGGACCGTGGTTGTTTTGCGACAACGCCATCTAGTGGAGTGGAGTGGTGGTGGTAATGCACAGCAACACGAAGGAGGTTAACCCTGTCTGATAGCACGTCGGCCGTGAGGTTACCGGTCGACATACATATAATAAATAACTTAAGTTTAGGCACGCACTCGGTGATGGTTGTGGTAAGGGTAATTGGCTTCGCTGCTCAGATCTGTTTGCCTTCCTTCTCTGATTTGCCCGTAACCCTGTGTTCCTCTTATCGTGCAAATAAATTACTGAACTGCATCGGCTGCCTTGGGGGTCTGCATTTGGGTCCTACCCCGTGTTGCTGTTACCCTGCCAACTGAAATATATTGACTCAAGGACGTCTATAAACTTAAATAAATCCCTACAAACTTAGCGATAAAACTTCCCATCAGGTCTTTCTACACTATAGTTAGACATGACAATGCCAAATACTTGTAACTGATTTACGAGCAGGGCTGGCGTTGTGGCTGTAGCTCTTCACTGTATGAGATTCAAGGTAACAAACCTTGGATCTGATAGGCAGTTTAATTCCTGTCATAAAAAACAGGGTTGGCAGTTTTTTTAAGGTTGTTGTTGTTGTTGTTGATGAAAGGTTTGTTTACCGCTGTGATTCGACAGGAAGAAAATATTCATCACTTTACGTGTTTCACAAAAGGTGCAGAGTCAATAAATCTATTAAAATAATCCATCCCTAAATTATTATGTTTTCACCATGTGTTTTACTGTGGAGGTGTTGTACAAATGTCAAATACAAAGTACAGATCTGTGTTAGTTATAAATAGCTGTTCCTCTTTTTTTTAAACAAAGAAATAAAACCAGACCCC